GACAATTTGCCTTAAATTAGGGAGCATGTTTGATTCAGCTCTCTGCACCTGAGGTCAATTGAAAAAATAAAAAAGTTTATATGTGTATACTTATAATGTATAAAAATATTTAAAAGGATGTATACTAAAATATTAGTAGTGGTTATCTCTGAAGTGGTATGAAAGGTGAGTCTTATTTTCTTTTTTTCCTACACTGAAAAAATATTGTGTAATGAGTAAAATGCATTTTTTTTATGTTTTAAAAGTTCATCTTACTACTCAGAACTTCTTTCTTGCTGTTGGATAAATGTACAATAACCTACTAAAGTCAGCTGCCTGTGTGGCCACAGTCATTTTATTGTTTTTCCAGAATGTTCCAAAATCGCTCTGGAATAAGACCAGTGGGACCACCAGACAGCTATCTAGCCTCACCCTTCTTCCCATGCAAATGAAGACCAAGCCTCCAATCCAGCTTTGGCAGAAACCTCTGTGGGAACCAGGATAACAAGGCCCTCTCCTTCCAGGCTTGGGGAAGGAGGGGCAGCGCTCATAACTCGCAGAATCAGCTCAGAACACCCTCTGAAAAGATTCCTTGAGCAGCAGTTGCCAAAAACAAAAGGTTCCACCTCAAGGGTGGAAACTCTATTTGCATCTTTGTAGACACAGGTGTTCTTCCAGGCGACTCAAGACCTACAGTGTTGGACTGTGTTTGGCCTGGAATAGCTCAGAAGGCCTTTCCTCAGAAGCCAGCTCTTGAGGCCTTCAGTGTATGTTCTAACTATATTTGGCAATGAAAACCAAAGAGGTCAGTGGCTTAACTCAGGCGGGAAAAAAAGGCTATTCCTGATTTATAATCCCTGCTTCAAACCAGGACCAAGAAATATTAAAACTCACTTCATTTATTTATTTTGCACTCGCTGGAGCTTACAGCTGAAGCAGCTCTCCTTCCCAGCCCTGCCGGCCCTCATGTAAATCTTTCACAACCACAGGTGTAAATCACCTACCTAAGCCATCCCTGTGTTAGAGGACATTTGGGGACATCTGGCTTGAGAAACCAGATGTTAAAATTATCCCACTTTACTCCCTATGTCTTCATAGCATTAAAATAGCCTGCAGCACTTGGGTACAAATCCACTCTGCCACTTATTTCTCACTGTGTGACCTCGGCTAAGTTATTTTCTGTCTCTGAAGTTCAATTTCCCTGTCTACAAGCAGAGATAATAACACCTACTTTACAAGGTTGCTGTAAGGATCAGAGGAGATAAGGTATATAAAGTGGCTAGGAGAAAGTCTGACACAAAGCAGGTGCTAAGAAAAGACTCCATTTTCAGCCCTCCCCATCACTGCCCTCCACCCTTAGCTGTTCAGCCAAGGTGTTGGCTTTTCAAGAAATCACCTGGTTCCCTGGGTCTGATTACAGATGGATGGTACCATTCCCACAGCCAGCAACAGTAGCTAAAGATAAAACTTGTGACAACCTCAGTTGTAGACAGGTCAAATTAGCTCACAAATGACTCATCACTGTTGATACACGATGCCTTCTTGGCATCAGGAAGCCCTATCCTGATAGGTTTCAGCACCTTATTAAAAAAAAAAAAAAAAAAAGCCTCTAAAAGGTAAGTTGAACCCCTACAGGGAAGGGCCCCAGGGTTTGATGGTGACCTTCAGTCAATCCTGAACTCATACCAGACTGTTCTCAGGAGGGTCTCTGTCTCCTCAGACATGTGTCCAGTCACAGGATTTCCAGTTAGGAAGGACTCCAGCTGAGCAACTGCCTCTTTATGTCTGAGCTGAACCATCTCCTTCACTTGCTTTAGATTCCCTGAAGTCATAAGACTCCCTCGGCAGAAGGCTAGATGCCCGTTCCCTGCTCAGAACAGCCCTAAGCTAGTGCCCAGCTAGCCTTTGGCAGTTTTGTCTGCAGCCTGAAGCCTGGCCAGGGTGAGGTTTGGCTGGAGGGCTCTGTGGCTATGGTTTAATCATGAGCCACTGTCTGTAAGGTGGAAGTGTTTGCAGTTCTCTGTAGTTTCTGTAGCCCCTTTACACCACCCAGAACCACACGCTGGCACAGAAATTCCATGACTGGAATTTTTAGTCACTCTTTCATTCATACATGCCCTTTACCTTCTGCAGTGCCTGGCCTAGCATTCCAAGTGAATATTTGTGAAAAGGCCCTTGAGGACATCAATGATCTTTTGCTTCATCTGTAGCCCCTTAATTCTTGTGAATTTCACAAAATTATTGTTAAGATCAGTCAGGGAAATGAACTATTTGAGAACTGACACTGACAACAGCTAAGTGCCCAAAATTGAGGCCTTGTATGGCCCTAGGGAAATTCCATGTACCAGGGTCTACTTTATTTTCCTTTTAAACTGCTTCAAAATCATGTTATCTCAGGACCTCAGACCTAGGACCTACCTCTTTCAGTGTGTATTAAAGGAACTGACCATCCTACCCCTTAGAGGGAGTCCTGTGATATGCAGTAGAGGCAAAAGGCCCAGGAGGGGGCTGTTTCCAGAAACATTTCCATTCTCCACACTCACCTTCAGGTTTTCTTAGGAAGGTTTCTAGAAGCACTAGAAGCACCAACATTTCAGCCATGGTTTGCAATCGAAAGACCAGGGGAACTGTCTGAAAAGGACAAGCATTTCCTCTCCATCCTGGGTCTTCAGGATACTGGATGAGACAAATAGGGCAAGGAAATAAAAAACAGAGGTGCCTCTTCCATAGGCAGGTATCTTGTCTCCCTCTACCATCTCTCTCCCTTCTGTACTAACCCTTCCACTATCCCCTGCCCTTTCTAGTCATGCAGTGGGGTCTTAGTGTCCAGCTTCTATCACCAGAACCGGGATCAAACTTCTTAAGATGATAAAGCATAAAGAAAGCAAGGAGGAGGAAGGGAGGAGAGAGAAAAAGGAAGACGAAAGAAAAGTGGAGAAAAAAAATGAAAAAAGCTTGGGAAGAGGAAGGAAGACGAGAGCGGTGAGGGAAGGCGGAACAATGAAGGTCTCAGGCCGTCGGAGGCGCACGGTTCCGGCGGCACGTCCGTCCCTCCCGCCTCCGGCCAGCAGCTGCACGCTGCGCAGCGTGTGGGCGCTGAGTCACTGTCCCAGAACACGGAGCCGCCGTGCAGGTCTGGGAGGGGGGCGGGAGGGGGACGGCCCTGGTTGGCATCTGCAAACTTTTTTTTTCTTTCCTCTGTTATTAAGGCTGTGTGCTGACTCCCACGTAGGAGGATTTATTAAACCGCACGTACTGCCTGACGGTTCGTGGGGCCGTTGCGCGGCAGCCGGTAGGAGGCGCTGCAGCCTCGCTTATGAGCTCGCTGGCCAGCTGGGTTCTCAGGTCCAGAGAGTACTGGGGTTATTCACTAGGTCCAGCTGTGGTTTCCCGGAGGCGTCCCAACACTTTGCTGGGGTAGCTTCTAACTTTAACACTCGGCGGTAGCCTGGGGAAACCCCTCACTTAGAAGGCCTGGGAGACCACCCCAACTCTCCCAGGCGCGTTTTTGCGCTGGGTTCCTAGAGCAATTCCATAAATCTGGGACTGTGTTGCGCAACCGGGAGAGTTCTTGCTCGCCTCTCCACTAGGGCTCATCCCACCCCGCCCGGTCCCGCCGCCACGCGAGGCGGTGACCTCGGGCGTTTCCACGACGCCCTGACCTGCGCCCAGGGCACGCGCTCCGCGTGCCCCACACGGACAGCCTAGCTAGTGACAGCCCGCGCGGTTTCGGCACCGCAGAGGGGCCCGCAAGGGTCGTGCGCCGCCGTCATATTTGTCGAAACCAGGCTGAGGGACCCTACGGCTCCCGAGCCGGTTAGGACAAGAGGCACCCATCCTTCCCAATACGCTTGAGCCGAGAATGAATCAGCACTGAGACAGTTTATTGGTTTGCTATTTCGCATATCACCCATTTTGTGTAAATAGATTATACAGAGACATGGTGTTTCCTTCTTCCCCAGGAGGTAATTAGTCTCTCTCTTTCACACACACAAACACACAATCCACACAGCAAACAACGTTACACCTCGCTGAGACATTCTCGTATTAAAATAAGGGGGCGGGGGAATAATACAATTGCTTTAAAATGCCCTTAATACAATATATAACGTACAAAAATATCTCTATATTTGAAGTTACAAAACAAATCTTGACAGCAACAAACTTAAATATTGATAGTTACCTCTGTATGTACAACACGCATTGCACTTTTCCTCTCTAGGTTTTGGAAAGTTCAAGTAATCGTGAGGCTTGCGCCCCGGTGGGGTGACACCCGGTGAGAAATCGGTTTGTGGGTGGGCACGGTAGTGGCTCAGACCTCTGCCCCAGGAGTCTCAGCATTTATTTCTCAGTTTCTCCTCTCCACGAGCCGGGGATACATTCCCTGGGATTCCTCTGCCCCCCTCCCCCCTCGGGGCACCTGGACCGGATCCGGGCGAAGGGAACGCTGCCCCACGAGGAGGAGGGGCTCCTGCAAAGCCAAGACTAGCCGCCGGACGGAGCTTTCTCGACTCGGGGGTCTTTGCGGGACCGTCTCAACCCGGTCCCCATTTATCTGGCTGAGGAGCTCGGCTTGGGGAAGCCCTCCGCCCCGGGAGGCACCAAGGGGATGCTTGCACGGCTGTTCACTGCTGCTACAGGCACTTAAATCCTGAGTAAGGCGGTGAGCACTTGGTGCGCCCGGGAGGCTGGAGCCCCGCGTGCGGGTGGCGCCAGGGACAACAGAGTCCGGCCCTGGTCTGCCATGGGCAGGGACCGCCGGCGCCGGCGGCCGTAGCCCTGGGGGCTGATCTTGTTTCTGGGGGCGACGTCGTCCTTGTCTTTGTCCGTGAACTGGTAGATCTGGTGCGCGAGCTTCTGCACAGTGCACGTCCCGAAGCGGCAGCCAAAGCTTCGCAGGCCCTGGAAGTTGTTCATGGTCTGGCGGTAGCGCTTGACTCGGATGCGGGCGGCGTCCGGACTGCTGGGGAGGGGAAGGAGAGCAACGTGAGACCCCATGAAGCAGGGTTTTGGCCGTTCTAGGACACGAGAAAACTGCTGAAACCGGCTACCGCCCTCGGAGCTGCCATCCAGCCCTGACTATCCCCAGGGCTAAGAGCTCTCGCCTCACCAAGTATCCCCGCTCCCCAGGCGGCACCCAGCAAAGTTACCTGGTCTGGGGGCTGCGAGAGGGTCCCTTCACGTCCTGGGGCCGAATAAGATTCTGGGCAGGCCCGGCCTTCACGTCAGCGAGACCGGTGGGGTAGCTGCTGGACACCCGTAGGTCCCTCTTCCCACGACTTAAAGCCCACTTATTCCATCTAGAAAACACAAGCAGACCAGATTCGCATGCGGACCGGCGATGTCCTCGCCCGCACCCTGCCCCACGCCAGACGGTGCGGCATCCCGACGACAGGCCCCTGCCCTCGATCACTTCTAACCCCATCGGGACCAACCGCCAGTTTCCCTTGTCTGTCAGGTACTAGGGCTGCGGAAGGCGCTGCCCCGAACTCACTTCTTTCGGAACTCCGACGCCACGTCGAGCCGCGCAGTGTCGGCGCCTAGGAAAGCGAGCGAGCCCAAGTACATCAGGGCTACCGGCACCAGCTTCATCCTGGCCGGGATGCGCAGATCCTGCGGGGAGAGAGAGGTACCCAGCGTGAGCACCCGCGCCAGTCGCACTGCCACGGCGGGACACGAAGAGAGGGCGGGGGCCCCGGCGCGGGCAGTCTCAGCTCGCGCTTCGCTCGGCTCAGACGCTTATCTCCCTGGTGCGCAGAAAGGCGCCAGAGGCGTTTGCACCAGCCAGCGGGTGACAGACCCCGCGGGGGAGGCCGCTGCACAGCGCCAGGCTCCCAGAGATTTCCTGCTCAGCTTCCCGGGACTTGGCTGACGGAGTAAAGGAGATTAGATCGCTGGAGCTGGCCCGGAAACGGGGGTGTACCCCTCAGAAGACCCTCCAAAGTGCATTGTACCCCTCACCTAGCGCTCCCAATCTCCGGCCTCAGCAACTCCCTTAATACGCTGGGCTTACGGCACCTACCTGCTGAGGGTGGATCTGCCAAATACAGGTAGGAGAAAGTCCGAGACGTTGCTCTGGCAGTGGCAAAACCTCAACGTCCAAGTCTGGCTGCAGTGAGAAGCAAGAGGTGGCAAGGCTCGAGCTCTTCTGCCTGCTGTCACCAAGAAACCACTGAGTGGCCAGCTCTCTTTCCTCCGCTTTATAAGAGCGCGGGGGCGGGGCCTGGGCTGCCCACGCGCCCTCCCTTTTTTCCCTCGGGCACGCGCGCTCCTGCAGTCCAGCGCGCGCATTGCTTGCCAGTGGGAGTGAGCTTTGGGGGTCCTTCGTGCCCAAAGGGCTCAGAGATGGGCTCCAGGAAATTGGTGCAAAAACTGTCACAACCCTGACTCTCTAGGACAAGGTTTAGACCTCAAGACCCGGAGAAGTAGGGCCAATACAACCTCTTGGGGTCCTTAACTAGGACCTATGCAGCCCAGAGTACGGGGCTCCTGGATTGGTGCTGCAAGAGTCAGCCCGGGCAAACGCGCGATGGTCGGAGCGCCAGATTTGGGGACTTGTGGTCTCGAGTGGGACCGCGCCCCCTGCCGGCTTGGCGCCTGACCTGGTCGCGACCCCAGACTCCCGCGGAGTGGCAGGGGCAGGACACAGAGCAGAGCGAAGAGGAGCGGGGCTCGCCAGTCCCCTGAGAACTGCCGAGACTCTGGGATTCCAGGATGGGCTAGTAAGATTTCGAAGTAGGAGCGAGGCTCGGAAAGGCTGATTCGAGAATTGGGATTTGTAGGGGAGAGAGTACTGAAGTTTCAGATTTTACATGCCTATTTGGAAATATAGGAATAACCAAAATTAAGAGGATGCCGTTTCATTCCGCCCTCCCCACCCCCACCCCGCCGGAATCCAATTATGCCTTATAAGGTTACAACCTGAGAGTTTGGCTGGCTGGCTGCCCTCGGAGCCTTCACTCACCCATTGTAAACGTGAGGATTGACTGCCAGGGAGCACATTAATGCTTCTCGCATGTTAATCGCCACAGTTTTCAAAGCACTGCCACATCCTCATCTCCTTTGATAACCATACCAACCCTTGAGTTAAGCAAGGAAGTTTCCCATTTCACTAAATTGAAAACTGAAGTTCAGAGAGGGGAAGTATCTTACCCAAAGTCACCTTAGAGCTAGTAAGCAATAGAGCTCTCACCTAGCCCTCAAGGAAGCACTGAAGACTGGGCACAGCTGAATTCTTCTAGGCTGGGGTCATCACCTTGTCAAGGGGGAGAGGAGAATTCCAGCCCTTGCCCAAAGATTTGTGCCTGTTCATGATGAATCACCCCAAACATATTTGTCACTTGTACTCTTCATGGCTGCTTTTTTTTTTTT